GGGCGGGTCAGGAGAGGTCTGCCACGCCATGTGGTCACCTCCGGGGCAGGCAGGAATCGAACTTATGCAGAAGTGGCTTTAGCTTCTCAGTGCAGTGCTTTAACCCGCCGCGCCACCAGGGAGGGCCCGTGTTTACTTTGTTTTTAACAAGCCATATTGGTGGCTTAATCTGTACAAAACTATTGGTGGTTAATCTGTAATTACCAGATTCTTAAAACATATATTTTTTTTTTCCAGGTTGCAATAAAAATAATTGACAAGACTCAGTTGAACCCAACAAGTCTACAAAAGGTAAGCTTGGTCTCAGTGGCCAGTGTTTCAGTGACTTTCTGTGCTAATTGCCATGTCACTTGTCCCTTTTATACCTTCACTGTTACTTTTTTTAAATTATGCTTCATACAGTAACGCTTCCTGGCCCCCAAACGAATGCTGCTTTTGTGTGGTAGTGAGCAGAAAGTACACTTTTGGGTCTCCCCCTTTGCTGGAAGATGGTGGTTTTTAAGAGTTTTGAATAGCACAGAGTGAAGGCTGCGTCGTGGGTTTTGAAGAGCCTGTGAGCAGGCTTCGCGAGTCTCGCCTTGGCCTGTAGTCGCAGAGGGCAGCCCCACACCACTGACCTTGGAACGGGGGTCCTGAGCATGGGTCTTGGCTCCGCCCCACCCTGCCCCGCCCCGTAGCTGAGTGAGCTAACCTTGAGCGGGCTGGTTTCTCACCTTTGAATGGAGACATTTTCTCTCTTAGGGTACATAGGTGTTGATGAAGTAACGCATATAAAAGAGCTTAGTGACGGCCACCCAGGCTCTGCGTGTGTGGACACCTGTGGGCCTCTGCACCGTGTGTGGGTTTCTGTGTGCGCTGCCGTCATTGACGTGGTGTGTGTGCGCCCGTGAGCTCAGGTGTGTGGTAGGAGACAGGCTTTGGCTCGCACTAAAGCAGGCCTTTGAACAAGTGGTTCAAACTGTTCTGTAGGGCTTTGGATTCTCAAAGCGGGGGGCTGGAAGGTACCCAAAAGTTCCAGTTCTTTGTTTTGAGGATGAAAAACGATCTGCTTTAGTAAACTCTGATTTCACGTATCTCTAAGGACTTGGTGTGAGTCAGTCAGGGTTACTGAGGCTTGGTGTTCAGAACTGAAACTGCCATGGAAAGGTGTCTAGTGAGGATTCAGTTGAGCATTCTGATGACGTCGCAACTCTTCCACGTGTCAAGGGTCCTTGATGAAGCTGGGATTGTAGTAGTTTCTTGGAAGAATTTTATCATGGCGTTATCTTGTGTTTGTTTCTAAATTTTCTTCTTAGTTGCTTTCATTGGTTTTGGTCACAGCCTTTAAATGTTGCTGTTCTCTGAGTACACGCCGGCACTCACCCCCCAGCACAGTCACTGATGTCTGCTGTCGCGGTCTCAGATTAGTGAAGCATCTTCCCAGGGTCGCCCTGTGCTCGCTTACGTAGGAAGTTGCTGTGCGTGCCTCTCGTGTCCTCGCACAGACACTGCTCCCGTGGGCCAGTCCCACCGGCACCCCTTCATCTTCGTTGCGGGGGGGGGGTGGTGAGGCGGTGGGCTCTGGAAAGCTGATCAGCCACGCTCCCAGCGGTGAACCGTGGAGAAAAGACCTAGTAGATCTTGGCGTGACCTCAAATGTGGGCACTTCTATCCATGAGGCCATCATGCTGTAATTAGTTAAATTCCTCTAGTCTGGGATTTAGGAAAGCGTGGAAACTAATCTGAGGTGTTGCTTTTTAGTAGCTATAAAGAAGTTTTGCGTTTGGGGGAGGAGTTCACATACCCAAGGAAGGTAGGCCTTGTGTCTGGGTGATGTAAAGGCAGAGAGCCATTCTTGGTTTTCGCGTGGTCTGCAGTGTAGTTCTTTTGGGTGCTACCATCATG